AAAAACCACAAGAGTTCTGGGAAAAATTGGGTTAGGAGCATAACAGTCAAAAACTTCATCAGTGACACATGAGAACAAAAGCTGGGAACCTAATAAAATGGTAGCACAATTTCTTACATGTTAAATGGGTAAATACACAAATGCTACAATAAATACCTTCCTTTGAAAAGACCTGAAGTTTGCTTGTGGAAGTTGGCATTGGGGGGATTGCCTCTTGTAAGCTATTCTGTAGTGGTGGAAGGAGAGTTATCTGAAATTGGAAGGGAAGTTTTAATACCAGATGTGGTGGGCATGGCTTTTAACTCACCTGGTAAACTGAGGCAGTTGGTCATGTTGAGATATGTACATGCTCATTTTGTATATTCCTGTATGACTCAGTTCAGTCGGGTAAAGTTTTCTGCTTTTACCTAGCATTTCTTGTGGATAAGGAAGTGTGAAACTGGAGGTATGTCCAAAATTTTCCCTAATGTATCGATTGCCTTGGAATAAATTTGCCTTTTCATTACAGGTGTTATAGCAAAACTGACTGCGTATATGGATATGTATGCTTACACATATATGACATAAACAGGACTCCATTATTGTACGGAATGCTGTTTTTTCACTTAATTTATTTCACCCGCTATCTCTTAGAGCTTTTTCCATATCAGCACATAGAATTACTCATTTTTTAAAAAATGGCATTTAAAGCATTAAGGGATGACTACATTGATCTCCAAAATGCTTTCAACAATTTACATTCCCACCAACATGCTTTCTACACACTGGCCAATATAACCTATTATCAAGTTTATTAATTTTTGCCAACCAAATAGTTAAAGTATTCTCTCCACCCTCTCCCACCTCTGCTCCCCCCACATTTACACTGTGAGGAATGCCTCCCATGAGTACACTGATGGAAAAAGGAGCTTAAAAATGTGAGACAGGTGGTGAGGCAGTGATGAAATAAAGGAAATAAAATGAATATGAAAGAAAACACAAGAAAAACCTATTTAAAAGGGAGAGAAAAAAATTCTCTTTCTACTTATTTATTTTTCACTTCTACTTTTGCTAAATACAACTTATCCACTTTATGAGATAAGATATAGAGTTGACCCTGTTGGGATTCTGTCTATCATTCTAGCTGGTTGACATCTCCAAAAATGCAGCTTACGCTGTTAATCCATCCACTTCAGCAAAACATGCCTAAGGGCATCAGATTCTTCTGTTTATCAGTATTGAGTTCCATGGCCCCGACAAGCTGAGCAGATGCAGCTGATCAGGGTAATGTGATGGCTTCAGCACTTGAGTCTGGGGCCTCTAACAGCAAAAGTGGCAGAAATAGAGGCTCATGCAGGTGTCAGATGTTTTCCTGTAAAGAGGTTGGCAATGGACATAAATGCTTCCAGCTGGGCACATTACCAGGCAGGGAAGCCATAATGATTTAATAATTAAATCACATTGGTTTATGATCATTGCTCATATTAGGAAATATCATTGCTTTTTGATGATTTATTATATGAAACCAAATTTTCATATAAACACTGTGATTTGCATTTATATCTAATATATATTTGCATATATATCTAAGTCAAAATAACTTACTAAAAGTTATCACCAAAAAAAGAGGATGGGATATTGATGTAAAGATGCCAAAGGTATTTAAGAACATGCAGAAATGATAAAGATTAACATGAGGCTGCCCCTTCAAAGTCATATGATGCATCTTCTTTTATGTGAAAACAGCAGGAAGAGAGAGAGCTACGAGCTGGATCCATCTCTGTTTTGCAGTTAGGTTTTTGCACCTTGGAATCTCAAACTATGATATAATTAATAAAATATAACGAATATATATATATAAGGGTTATATAGAACCAACATTTCCCTTCTATATTAAGAACTTGCTTTCCTGCCCTCATTTCTCCTTGTGTGTCCTGGCATGGAGGGGAGATAGAAAGTGAAGAGGGAGGAGGAACATTTTAACTCATAAAAGAGCTTTCAGTCTCATGGGGCCTAGAGTAGTTGCTTTTGAGCAGCCAAAGATACTGGAAAGCTTCTTTTTTCTTAGTTACTATTCCTTGCATTATCAGCTATGATGGCTAGTAACTGCAGCTCCTAAACTCAACCCAGCTCCATTGTCTCCTTAGTGGTGAGTTGTTAAAGCAATACAAAGGATATCTCCTGCTCATCTGTTCTCAGGGCCAGCTACATAATTTGGGGAACCCAACGTAAAATAAAAATGTGGGCCCTCTTTGTTCAGGGAGCAGAAAAATGTACCATTGAAGGTGCTAAAATATAAAGCTCTGTCCTGTCCTCCATAACCTTTCTCTTTGACTTGTCATGGTTTTTTATTTATTGTTTGATGTTTTTATAAGAAATATTGAAAATGTAAATTATTATTATTTTTTATTATAAAGATGTGGGGTACAATTCAGGATTAGGTATACAAACGTTGATTATGCAGGTACCCTTGTTGATGAGGTGTGCCCCTCCCTCCCCTAGCAGTTTCCCTCAACTGCCAATCCCATCCCCCTCCCCTGATAGTTTCCCACTACTGCCAATCCCTTTCTTATAGCATTATAATTGTTCAAGGTCACCTTATGAGTGAGAACATATGGAACTCAGTTCTTTGTTTCTGTGATAAATCACTGAGTATGATCGACTCCAAATCCATCCAGGTTGCTGCAAAGTCCATATATTTGTCGTTCTTTATGGCTGCATAATATTCCATTGTGTATATGTACCACAT